TAGTAAATCTTATACATGCAGTATATCACCTGCAGCAGCAAATAAATGTTTGAGGAAGGAATAAACTGGCATGAAGGTATATGAGCTTTCTTTTGTAGAACAGTTGCTGTGTTCTGCTGTGTAAAGGCTATATGTAATTAGTACATAATGTGACAGACTAAAGCAAAAGCAAAGTAGGTATATTAAGACAAGCAGTTAAAAAAAGAAGGCAGAATGTGACCCCAAAAATTGTGCTAAGGTTTTGGTTCCCAGCTTGTGGAAGAGCTGGAAACATCTGCGAGCAGACAGGATGTCAAAACAGAGTATGTCAAAGAATAATAATGGGATCACTTGCTTGGGTTATTTTTAAAGATGAAATTATCTTCTGTCAGTTGGAAAGGCTCAAGTTTGGAATGAATTGGCAGTTTTTCCCCCTTCCTTTCTCTCCCTGCACCCCCAAGTTTCAATTGTCACTTCACAACAGTTGGGATCTTGCCTAGGTTTAGAAAACATCCCCTTGTGCACCTTTTATTTATTTATTTTTTTATAATCAGCTCTGGTGGGATTTGACCCCTTATACCTTTTAGAAAGCAAGAGTCTATGTAGGCGCTCAGTGGCAATACTACATGTTTTGATAGGATGTAGTATTTTAGGCTTCAAGACTTGCTGTTTCAGGTAGGTATCTATAAGTGTGCTCATATTGTGCGAGTACATCTACCTTCATGGAACATGACAAATGGGTATCATGGTCCAGTGTGTGCCATCAGGAGTATTGCTCTGGTTTTAATGAAAAGTTGCTGTTTTAATGTATAGTTAGGTTTCTTGGTGGGCGGGAGCCAACGGGAAAGTAACTGGCAATAACCTGTGTCTAGAAAACTAAAATTAAAAACCCCAGCAATAACTTGAGAAGTTTAGAGAAGCCGTTTCTTTTTATGGGATGCTGTCCAGAAGAAAAATAGCCTTGCCTGGCTTCCTCCGAAGTAGCAAAACATTTTCCTCTTTAGGAAGGGTGTAAAAAAGACAAAGAGGTTGAGTCTATATGACACAAATGAAGTGGAACTTGAGTAAAAATGGTATCCATGTAGGACACTGCCAATTTAGCTAACTTGGGTCTTTTAAAATTTCAATTATGCAAACAAACCTAATCTTCCCCTCAATTTGTGCTGTTTAGGCATACGTAAAATTTCGTGAGAGCTCTAATGATACAATCATCTGAAGCAGAAGAGAGTCTCATATTTCGTAGCTCAAATGGCTTCTCTAACCCTCACACAGGGGAAGCACAGGCGGACCCAGCAGCAGGTAACCTCCTTTAGCAGGAAATGAGAACTTCACCCTGCTTCCCCTGCCAACCTCCTGTCCCTGTTTCCTGCCAGCAGATATCTCCATTCCAATCTCCCTGACACTGGCTTTCTCTCACTATCATGGTTCAATTGTTCTTAGAAAACTGCACTAACCAGGCTTATACAGAGAGAACCTGGCCCAGTTATTAACTGGAATGCAAAAGAAAAGAGCAAAGTAAATCAATTTTTTCAAAACCAAACAAAACAATAATAGAGAGAGATGTTTTTTTACAAAATCATGTGTATACACATGTGTGCATGTGTGTAGACATAGGTACATATACACATATCCTCTTTGTTTACTTAGTCAGAGTATAGACATGATAATTACTTGACCAAATCTGTAAAACCTAGACTGGCCCAGAATATCTAATTCTAAATTATTTGTCAGTGCTGGGTATGAGAAGTAAGGGTGAGTAAGGGAACTGCATAATTGTTTCACTTCTCCCCTTTCCTGTGCATATGTCCATTACTGAGAATTCCAGTTTCAGAGGAAGCTTTAGTGTGAATAGGAAGTTAGTAAGTAAATGTCTGGCATTTTCCTCAAATTATCTCTCATAATGTAAGAAAACTGGCAAAAAACCATCAACAGATGGTGTTTTTATTAACCAAATATTTATTTTTCAAAGCATTTTCATATTAATGAAGTCAGGTTGAAATTGGAGTCATTTTGTCAGTTCTAGTTGTGTGTGTTGTTAAAATGTACTGGCCTTCTGCAAATTGCTGGGGGGCACAGAGTGAAATAACCATTTGCTATAATTTTGTGATGGTAACCCAAGGTCCATAGTCTAATCAGACCACAAACTATGTGCTCAGCCATAATTTTTTTCCAGTGGCTTTAGAGAAGCTATAAGTCTCAGTTCTGGGCCATAAATTAGGAGCATACAGCAGTGATCTAAGATAACAGTTTCATGACAAGTGTTGCAGTGGGTTGCATGTACTTGTTAGAGAACATTCTCTCCATGACATCTTATATTTGAATGGAAACATATTACAGTTTGAAACACAGATTTCTAATATTATATCTGCTTTGAGTTCATCAATCTATATATGTTTACCTAATATATCAATATAGCCATTTGCGATACATAGGGATCACACTGATCTAGGAATCTGGATCACTCTGCAAGAGGTAATCAAACTGATGGGCTCATTACCAATGCCCACTCTATAACTTAAGGTGGATATTTTCATCAAACAAGCTCTATCATATTCCTCTTACAGTTGAACTATTTAAGAGGAGTCCAGACTCATAGCCTCCACTTTATCACTACCTCCATACTTAACCCTGTAGAGTTTGACATCTGCTTCCAAAACTCTATTGAAACTCATATTTCAAAGGTCACCAGTGACCCCTAATTACCAACTCCATCTGCCTTTCTTACAATCGCTGTGTATATGACAGTGACAAATCCTTTATTGAAACAAGCTTTCCTCAATTATCACCTTACCTTGGCCCATACCTGCATTCCCAACTGCCTTGAAGACTACAGTCTCCTCCTAACCATTGCCCCTGTCCCCAGACTTTCCTTTTTCAGTCTGCCCCATGTATTGCTGGTAGATTAATCTCATAATTGCAACCCTGATTATATCATTATCTTACTCAAACGCATTTGGTAACTCCCCACTACTTAAAGAAATAAGTACAAACTATTCATTGAGGCATTCATGACCTTCATAACAGAGCCTTGATTTCCATTTCCAGTCTTGCCCCCCACTATTCTTTTGTATTCTTTGTTATAGCCAAACTCAAAGTCTTTTCCCTGAACATGTCCTGTACTTTATTCCCTTTTACGTTTGATCATGCTATTCATAGTGCCTACAACATCCTGACCTACTCCATCTCTATTAAAATCCTACTTATCCTTCAAGACCCATCTTAATCTCACTTCCTCTTTATTTCTGAAGTCACTTGACTGTGAACAGAGTAGGTATCCAATACACTTTGTTGTATTAAATATCTTAACTGCCATTTCTTTTTTCTCTTCTGACATCTATTAGCTTACAGATCATGTCTGAATCAATGATTGCTACCCTTTTTTTCCTTCTTCCCTCTATGTCCTTGCTAAGGAGAAGGCTATAGTTGAGATGGTCATGAAGTTAAAGAAGACTAGGGGAGACACTGTGCCCAAGCCACAAAAAATGGAATAAGCTGTGAAAATTTACTTCCACTGTAACAAAGCCAAAAATCCAAGAGAGATCTGGCAAAAAGGGAAGCAAAAATTAAGCTGGTTCTCATAATTTGGTTTGAGAACAAGTGAAATCAAACTGCCTGTCCTAGAAATACACATACCCAGGGGATTACATCCTTGGGATTGATTCATGGGACAGTGCCAAGGATACTAAGGAGAAACAGCTACTTAGTAGACAAAAGGCCAAGTACAAGAGTCCTCTCTCCCTCCCCCACTTCTTGCCAACCTCCTCCCCCACTGAAAACATGAACTTTGAACAACTACAATACAAACCATAAAAACTATGGAGACAGCAATGAAGCAATGAACACAACCAAGGGAAAGAATTCTAACAGAATAAGAGCCAGGAAGTTGGGATATTCCATTTGGAACAGGTTTTGTGGGGGTGCTGGGATGGTGAGTGAGAGAGAAATGGATATCAGGGCAGGTCCTGGGGTAGAAGCAGCCACCAGAGCTGAAGACTTGGGAATGGGATAGAATAAAAAACTCATTATCAATCTAGAGTCAATAACATTGTATATTTTTTACATAAGGAATGGGAGAGAGTAGCTTGCTGAACTGAAAATATGCTAAGAGTTCTGAGTACTGTTGAACTATGTTATATTAAAGATTTGCAAAGTGTTTCTAATGTGTCCCTAAAAGGATCTATATAGCAACAAGCAATGGATGTCCCAGCTTTATACTGTCAGGCTTTGTGTTTGGAAAGCCAGCATCTCCATGAACTATTCCTTAGTGCCAAAGAAGGGAAATTGAGATACAATGCAAAATTTTGATTAATACCAAACTTAAAATACCATTTTTCCTGAACAAATCTACTGATAAATATTAAATGTTATTAATAACAACAATGAAAACAACAAAAACTAACCACAAAAATCATGGAATACTGGAGCAAAGCTGTGAATGAAGGCTAGAGTCCTGGATTCCAGCCTTAGCTTTGCCATATACTAATTACGTGACTGTGCAAACATTTTATCCTAACTCTGAAGCTCAATTTTCTCATCTGCGAAATGTTAACATATCCTTCTTCATGGATATCCTACTTCATTGTTACGATTTTTCAATGATACATATGAAAATGTCTAGCATAGTGTCTGGCAAGTAGTAATTATTCAACAAATGTAGTTTTTTTAGGCTACTTATCTGTAAAAGAAAATAATGTATATTTTCCCTATGTCACCAGATTTACTATGAGGGCAAAATGAAATATTGGCTATGACATACTTTAAAAAGTTGAAAATATTACAGAAAACATTAAGTTATTTTAATGTCATTAAAACCATATATCCACAAAGTCATGAATGTCAACTTTATTAAGTGGCACCAAGAAGAGAGCTTAAGCCTATAGCATGGGCTCAATTAATCTTTGAAATAGTGTATTTGTCAACTGACTGATCTCTACATGGTACTGGTTCAGAAACTCATTGAATGTATGTTCTTTTTTCCCATCTTACCCTTTTCCCTCTTGCTTTATACTCTGCAATGACAGCAAACTTTGGAGATGAACCTCACCAACCTGGTTAAGCGAAACAGCGAACTAGAAAATCAAATGGCCAAGCTAATACAGATCTGCCAGCAGGTTGAGGTATGTAACAGAAATGTTTGTGATTTCTTCAGAGGACCTATATAGATTCTTTGTGTGTGTGTGGAGGGGTCTTGAGTTAGTTAGTTAGTTAGTTTATTTATTTGCTTAATCCCTTCACCTTTTTACGCAGCCTCCAACCCTGCTCGCCTCTGACAGCTGATAGTCTTTTCTCTGTGTCTATGAGTTTGTTTCTATCTTGCTTGTTAGTTTAGTTTGTTCATTAGATTCTACATATAAGTGAAATCATATCTTTCTCTAACTGGGTTTTTTCACTTAGCATAATGCTCTCCAGGTCCATCCATGCTGTCACAAAAGGTAAGAGTTCCTTTTTTATGGCCGAATAGTATTCTATTGTGTAAATATACTATAACTTGTTTTATTCACCCTTCTGCTGATAGGTACTTGAGCTGCTTCCAAATGTTGGCTATTGTAAACAAAAATACTGCAATGAACAAAGGGGTGCATATATTCTTTTGAATTAATGTTTTGGGATTCTTCAAATATATTTCCAGAAGTGGAATCTCAAGGGAGACTTGAGTTTTGTCATAATGTAGTTCAGCCATTTGGAATAAAGGACTGACTGATAATTCTAGGAAGTTTCAAACCTTTAGGATGCTTGTGTTCCAAGATAGGTATTGTTAACAAAAAATGGGTAGGGAGTGGTGATAAGTTGGTGAGACAACAATGCTAGATGCAATCCCCTCTCCTTTCCAAATAGCAGGCAGTAGGAGAATCTGACACAAAATATGTTTCTTCCTTCATCAAACTAGACATTATATTTCCTTGAAGAGATTGCTGTGGTGCCAAAGGGAAGTTGGGAATATGGGTCCTCATGGTAGGATGAGGCTTTTTCAGTGCAGTATTGTTTGTGTAACAATATTATCAAGAATGTTTCTCCTCTTCCTAGTCTCTTCTGCCTTTGTCCCCATGTCCCTTACCTGGTCCTTACTCATCACTTTTCCACTTATTCTTGTCATCAACAAATGATATCTATGTGAAAGTTGTGAATTATAAAATGTTACACAAATACAAAGTTTTCAAAAAGTGTTTACATCAAATCTCAGAGCACAGCTTATGATAGGAATCAAACTCTTCTTAAGTGGATGCAATAAAATGAAGGTATTATTTCTCTCTCTCTTGGTTTTCCCCTGATTTTGTTGAAAAGCCAATGGTAGTGCTTAAAGTATAAACAAAATCAGGTAAAATATTATAGAACTCCTCATGGGCAGTGGTTGGATAAAAATGTTTCTAATTCTGTGTATTGCACAACCTGATAGTCTAGTTCTAATCTTACTTGTATGACAAAGAAATATAATGGTTCCAGTTTTATTTTAAGTAATAAGAATTTTATTACGATCTCATCTCTTAATCTCACCTAGGGATTCCTATTTAAGAGAGTGTAGAGAATCTTGTAAGGTAAAGAATCTTCTTTTATGAGTAATTACTCATGGTTGTTTGGATTTCTTAAAGTGTTAGGCTTCTTTCTTTCTTTCTTTCTTTTTCTTTCTGTTTACCTTTTTATTGAATTTATTGAGATGATATTGGTTAATAAAACTATAGAAGTTTCAGATGTGCAATTCAATAATATATCATCTGTGTATTGTGTGTTCACCACCCCCAAGTCAAGACTCTTTCCATTTATCACCCCTGTACACTCTTATACCTCTACCCACTCCCGAATCTCTCTGGAAATCCCCATATAGGTGTCCGTGTCTATGAGGGTTTTTTTTTCCTTAATTGCTTCACATTTTCACCCAGCCCTGCAACTCCTCTCCCCTCTGACAGCTGTCAGTCTGTTCTCTATAAATGAGTATGTTTCTATTTGATTTGTTAGTTTATTTTGTTCATTAGATTCCACATATGAGTGAAATAATAAGACATTTGCATTTCTTTGGCTTATTTCACTTACTATAATGCTCTCCAAGTCCATCCATGCTGTCAAAAAGGGTAAGATTACCTTCTTTTTTATGGCCAAGTAGTGTTCCATTGTGTATATGTACCACAGATTTTCTACCCAGTCATCTACTAATGGGTACTTGGGCTGCTTCCAAATCTTGACTATTGTAGATAATGCTGCAATGAATATAGTGGTACATACATTCTTTCAAAGTAGTGTTTGGGGTTTCTTCAGTATATTCCCAGAAGAGAATCATTAGGTAAGTAGGCAGTTCCATTTTTAGCTTTCTGAGGAAATTTCATACTGTTTTCCATGTGGCTGAACCAATCTGCATTCCCACAAACAGTGCATGAAGGTTCCCTTTTCTCCACATTCTTACCAGCACTTGTTTGTTGATTTATTAATTATAGTCATTCTGGCAGGTGTGAGATGATATTTCATTGTGGTTTTCATTTGATTTCTTTGATGATTACTGATGTTGAGCATCTTTTCATAAGTCTTTTTATTATCTGTATGTTCTTTTTGGAGAAGTATTTATTCAGATATTTGCCCAATTTTTAATTGGATTGTTTGTTTTTAGTGTTGAGTTTTTTAAGCTCTTTATAAATTTGGGGTATTCACCTCTTATCAGATATATCTTTGGCAAATATGTTTTCCTACTCAGTGGGTTGCCTTTTAATTTTGTTCATGGTTTCCTGTGTTGTACAAAAAATTTTTAGTTTGATGTATTCCCAATTGTTTATTTTTTTATTCTTTCCCTTGCCTGAGGTGATATATCAGAAAAAAATATTGCACTGAAAAAATATACCTGAAGAATCCTGAAACACCAATTGAAAAGAACCTGTGTACCCCAATGTTAATAGTAGCACAATTTACAAGAGCCAAATGCTGGAAGCAACCTAAGTGCTCATCAGTAAATGAGTGGATCAAAAAATTATGGTGCACTTATACAATGTAATACTATGCAGCAGAAAGAAGGAAAAAAAAAACAAAAACAAAAAAAACCTGGCTGGCGTAGCTCAGTGGATTGAGCGCGGGCTGCGAACCAAAGTGTCGCAGGTTCGATTCCCAGTCAGGGCACATGCCTGGGTTGCAGGCCACAGGCCCCAGCAACTGCAGATTGATGTTTCTCTCTCTCTCTCTATCTCCCTCCCTTCCCTCTCTCAAAAAATAAATAAGTAAAAATTAAAACCCTGGCTGGCGTAGCTCAGTGGATTGAGCGCGGGCTGGGAACCAAAGTGTCCCAGGTTCAATTCCCAGTCAGGGTACATTCCTGGGTTGCAGGCCATGACCCCCAGCAACTGCGCATTGATGTTTCTCTCTCTCTCTCTCTCTCTCTCTCTCTCTCTCTCTCTCTCCCCCCCTTCCCTCTCTAAAATGAATAAATAAAATCTTTAAAAAAAAAAAAAAGAAAAAGAAAGAAGGAGTTTCTACCCTTTGTGACAGCATTGATGGAACTGGAGAGCATTATGCTAAGTGAAGTGAGCCAGGCAGTGAAAGACAAATACCATATGTTATCACTTATAAGTGAAACATCATCAACAAAACAAACAAGCAAGCGAAATATAACCAGAGACTTTGTAATAAAGAACAAACTGACAGTAACCACAGAGGAGGGGGGATGGGGAAATGGGAGAAAGAAGGGGAAAGGTAATCAAGGAACATATATAAAGGACCTTTGAGAGTTCTGGCCAAGATGTAGGCATAGGTACAAACCCTTTGCTTCCTCATACAACCAAAAGGAGGATAACAACCAATTTAAAATCCATAAACAACCAGAAGTATAAGAAAATCAAACTGCATGGAAATGCAACGACCAAGGAATTAAAGAAAAAGTCAACAAGGACAACCAGACCAGTAAGAACCCACAGTGAGGCTGAGGACCCCGTAGGTGGGCATGGCTGAAGCCGAATCTTAGACTCAGAGTTGACTGTGAACTTTGCAGGTTGCTGCAGTGGAAGAAACTCCTAGTCTCACATGAGAATTCATTGGAAAGTGGGCTAGAGATGAGCAGGCCAGCTGCACTGTTCCCTCTCTGGCCCTCCCCCACAGGCAGCACCACAGCACAGCAAAGAGGGTTGCCCTGCCCTGGAGAATACCTAAGGCTCCATCCTATTACAACTTAACAGGTGGGCCAAGAAAAAGAAATACGGCCCAAATGAAAGAACAGAGAAAAACTTCAGAAAGATAGCTAAGCAATGAGGAGATAACCAACATATCTGATGGAGCATTTAAAGCCCTGGTAATCAAAATGCTCACAGAACTGATTGAGCTAGGTCAAAAAATGAAAGAACAAATGAAAGATACACAAAATGAAATAAAACAAAATATTCAGGGAACCAACAGTGATGGGAAGCAAACCAGGACTCAAAGCAATGATTTGGAGCAAAAGAGAAAAATAAATATCCAACTGAAAAAGAATGAAGAAACAAGAATTCAAAAAATGAAGAGAGACTTAGGAACCTCTGGGACAACCTGAAACAGTCCCATATCTGAATTATAGGGGTGCCAGAAGAAGAACAACAACAGCAAGAAATTGAAAACTTCTTTGAACAAATAATGAAGGAAACTTCCCTAATCTGGCGAAAGAAATAGACTTCCAGGAAGTCCAGGAAGCTCAGAGAGTCCCAAAGAAGTTGGAGCCAAAGAGGAAGACACCAATGCACATCATAATTAAGTTACACAAGATTACACATAGAGAGAGCATCTTAAAAGCAGAAGAGGAAGGGAGAGAGTTACCTACAAAGGAGTGCCTGTAAGACTATCAGCTGATTTCTCAAAAAAGACCTTGCAGGCAAGAAGGGGCTGGAAAGAAGTATTTGAAGTCATGAAAGGCAAGGACCTACATCCAAGATTACTCTATCCAGCAAAGCTTTCATTTAGAATGGAAGGGAAGATAAAGTGCTTCCCAGATAAGGTCAAGTTAAAGGAGTTCATTATTACCAAGCCATTATTATATGAAATGTTAAAGGGAGTAATCTAAGAAAAAGAAGATCAAAACTATGTACAGTAAAATGACAACAAACTCACAACTATCAACAAGTGAACCTAAAAGGAAAGAAAAACAATGAAAACAAAAACTAAGCAAATAATCAGAACAGGA